ATAGAAGTTGCCGATGAAGTTCTCGACCTTGGCGAACAATTCTTGAGAGCTCACATCCTCCTTTGCCTCTGCATCCTCCTCCTCTCCTTCAATATAGAAGAGGCTTGGTGTAGATGGAGATTTCATGTCCTTTCTCACTCTAGAAACCATACCTTGGCTTGCAGCTAAAACCACACTAGAACCAGTATGACTCTCTTCTTTAACAATAGTGGTCACCTTGCCAAAATCATCACCACCATCATTTCTCTCTCTAATACAGTGGTTACTTTGTCACCGCCACCACCACCACCATTTCTCTCTTTAACAAATGTGGTTACCTTATCACCACCACCAACAAAAGCGTTTCTCTTTCTAACAAATGTGGTTACCTTATCACCACCACCAACAAAAGCGTTTCTCTCTCTAACAATAGCGGTTAGTTTCTCACCACCACCACCACCACTGTCACTTTCTCTCACTAAGGTGGCCGCTATGTTGCCTCCATTGCCATTGCTTGAGAAATTGTTAAGCATTGTGGGCTTCTTTTCGTTGTTGGGTTTGGCTAAGGAGGCGAGTGCTCCAGATTCGAGGCCGAGAGAGAGGATGAGGAGGTTGAGGAGGAAGTAGAGATAAGTGGGCCTCATCCATGGACGTATCAAAGGAGTTACAAGGAAGAGAGATGCAATGGCGACTAACCTTGCCAATTGGGTCTTTTGAAACTTCTCCATGGCTCAAAGAAGGGAGACGCTACAGACCAGATAAGGAGGGAGGGAGAAGCGTGAATAGTGGATTGGTGTGTCTCTTTGTGTGTGGAGATAGAGGACAATATATAGAGGGAGGATGGATAAAGTTGATTGGATCCTAGAGAGAGAGATGCATGGACATAGTACTCTTCTTTTCTACATGTTTTGATGCATTTTAGAGAGAGAGAGAAATATATGGGTCTGAAGGGGGGAGAGAGACAATCCATGGATATATGGGTCTTTTCTGTATGTTTAGTTGTGCTCCTGAGAGAGAAAGAGAGAGGAAGGGGGGGGGGGGGACAGATGCATAGATATATGGGTCTTTTTTCTCTACATGTTTGGTTGTATTCTTGTGTGTGTGAGAGAGAGATGCATGGATCTACCGGTGTTGTTCTTTTCCGCACATACAGTTACATGGATATATGGTTTTCCTCAGAGAGAGAAAGAGAACGAAAGAGAGGGAGGAGAGAGTTTTCTAGAGAGATGCAAGGATATATGCGTTGTTTTAGAGAGAGAAAGTTATTGGGCCGTCTTTTTAAGAGAGAAATGCATCGATAATAGTCGTTCTTTCCACGAATAACTCCTTAGGACAAACTTCTTATACAACTTACCTCATTTAATTTAAATTTCTTTTTTTTTATCTCAAAATATACTTTTTTTAGTAAATAGCTCCCCATCAAAACAATAAATAAAAAAAAAACTAAATTACCCTTCCTTAAGTTTTACCCATGCTTGTCTCTCCTTGGACAAAAGTACGGTCTAGCATATATACATGGCGGTTCAGCACTATTCTTTATGGATAAATATGGGATGTGGCAAATGTACATTGTGGTCCAATATTTTTTTCCTGGACAAAATGTGTTCCGGTAGATCCCTATGGTGGTCTGGCACTTTTGTTCCTGGACAAACATGCGGTCCACCAAATCTATCTGGCAGTCCGACACTTTTATATATGCTATTCGGCAGCCTACGTAGCTTTTGCTACTGTAAGCCTAGTGAATATCCAGCCAAAATTAATTTTTTAAATGCGAAAAAGGGTATTTTTGTCAAAAAATGTACTTGTGTTACTTGAGAGATATTTGTTAAGAAAGTAGGGTAAAAAGTGAGAAAAAAAGTTGAGAAAATAACAAGAAACCCCCAAGACCGTATTTTCTATACAACTTATCCCCAACCTAACTTTTCTCTCATTTTTTTCCAAAACAAGCTTTCTTTACAAATACCCCTCAATCCTTTTTGTTAAAACGAAAATGCCCTTCATGTACACGAAAATCATTTTGGATAGATTTGACGCTGACTTTTGGACCCCACGTTGCAGAGCGCACAAGTACCAGACCTCCTTTTGCAACTGCCGCACTGCCCTTTGCAATTGCCGGACCGCCCTTTGCAATTGCCGGACCGCCCTTTGCAATTGCCGGATTGCACTGTATACAATGCCGAAGCCCTAATGCCGAACCGCACTTTACACAGTATCGGAGCCTTATCGCCGGACCGAACTTTACACAGTGTCGGAGTGCTATGGCCGGACAACACTTACACGCTCCCTATTTTGGTTGGATAGAGGAGAGAGAGGCGTGGGTAAGGTAAAAGTAATAGAAGGTAGTTTAGGTATTTTTTATTTATTTATTATTTGGTTGGGGGGTTTGCATTGAAAATATATTTTGGGGAAAAAAATGACAGAAAAAGATCCGTTGGGGTAACTTGCATAAAAAGTGTAGTATTGGGGTTTTTTTGTAATTTTCTCAAAAAAATTTGGTTGAGAGTTAAGTTTCATAGAAAATCTTTTCTTGGTTATTTTTTCTAATTTTCCTTATTTTCTACCTGTTTTGGGGTTTCTATTTATTTTCAATTAAGTGGAGAAAGAAAGAGAATGACGCATGAAAACATGGGGTGTCGTCGGACTCTTTTGCTCTTTGTTTAATTAATTAATTACAAAATAAATTAATAATAGGGAGGGGGATCGATATGGTCGGTGGGCAGATTCCGGTACTTTAATGTTGTCACCCTGCTCATCACCGGTCGTTCCACGCTCCACCTGGCGCTTCATGCTCATGCCTTAGAGAGCGAGGGATTGTGAGAGAGTGCTCTTTGTTTTGGGATGATGGGATCATTTGAGAGAGAGTAAGGCTTTCTTTTTTGTTAGGAGAGAGAGGGAGGAGGGGTTTGCTTTTTGGTTTGGGATCATTTGGTGGGCTTTCTTACCATGTAATCTCGGCCCACTTCCTAAATGGCTGATGCTTTGTCCCTACTCCCCACTGGGCCTAATATTGTTTCCCAAAAGTCCTCAAATTTGATCAATGTATTCAATCCGCATTCCTCAAATCCTAGTCATACTTAGTGGATTTTTGAGGGAAACTTCAGTTTTCGTAAAAGTGAATATAGAGAGAGTGGGCATATGTGGAGGGACAGATTTCCCTAACCACTTGTAACAAGTTTTTTCCAATTACTTATAACGAAACTTTGACTCACATAAACCGGGTCCTACTTATAATTCTGGATTGTATGCTGTGAGTCTATACATTTGGTACCAAAAAGTTATAATTATTATTAACAATCCGTCGTAAAATTTAACAATTTAGAATATGCCACAAAGTTTTAAAAACTTTTCGAACTTTGAACCCAAACAGTAATTATATTGAGAGGAATTTAACTTCCATGTTGGGTTGTTCCTAATAACATAATGTCTTTGTATACTTTCATGATATGGAGAAACAAAGCATGGCTGTCCGATCATGGAACAGTCGATCACGGACAGGATTGAGCCCACTGGAACGTGATGTACCGTCTTTGGGATTCCGCATTGGTTCATTGAGGTGAAAGGCAAGGGATTATATACTATGGGATTATTTATTTTTATTACAAGGGGGGCACAATTGTTCATAGCCATTAGATGTCAACTTGGATAGACTTGGGTGTATTACAATGTTTGAATTTTTATTTATTTTTATTTTTTTAACTTTGAGTTTAATTAATGACACACAAACACCCGATTTGAAATCTAACAAACACTACTGATCGTGACATCCTTGTTTTAAAAGTAGTCTATTTTTATACTTTTGTGAAAGACAACAAATTGGGATGATTTGGAGGAACACGTAGGTGTGCGCTCGCTGAAGAAATGCGAGCTCCATTTGATGGTCTAGATTACTCAAACACATTGTTTATTATTAGGAAAAAGTTTATACAAGGCATCAACCTTATTCCGTACCATAATTATTAGGCATTAGATATAAATTGAATAGTTGGGGATCTCTCATTGGTTGGACACAAAGTCCAAAATAAAATTCTCAAATATTGTGAAGCATTTCATGCTATTGAATTAGTCGACCCCAATTAATTAAAAAAAAACTATGATGATGACGACTTCACACCATTGAATTTCACATCTAATGGCCAAGAGCGATTGCCTGGTAATAACCTCATAGTATACAATCTATTTTTTTTGGTTCTATCTTCTCTCTAGTTCTCTCTCACTCATCAATATTCAAAGTTGTTGTCCCTCTCTGGCTATGTGCGCATGGGAGCTCTTTTTCGAATCTATTTTTTGCATGTTGCTTTTTCCACTCGTCTTTAAGAATCTTGTTGACTCACTTCTTGGAATTTCATGGAGGAGACAAATCTCTATTGCAACGTCACAATAATATGTCTACCTTTGGTTGCCTTATTTCCTCAATTTTCAAAATATATTGACTCTTATCATTCCTGATTTCACGCCTTAAATCTTTTAGCGATTATTTTAGTATTTAGTAAATATATTTGATAAGTATCTTGGCAGGTATCCCAATGAACTCTTATACAACCTATGTTAGAAAAACATGAACATTTGTATCGTCTGATATTTTTTTAAAAAAGAGTTAATTTTCATGAGAGGTCGATAAGAAGTGTTTAAATTTTTAAAGTGCTAATTAGGTGTTAGGAATAAGTGACAATTGACAGAGCCTGGGCCAGGCCAACTCTGGCACTAGCCTAGCTCTAGTTCTTACAGGGCTAGCTCGAGGCCGGCCTAACTTTGACGGGGCCAAAGAGGGCCTAGTCCTGTCAAGGTTGGTCGAGCGGAAGCAAGTACAATAGAAGGACAAAAAAAAAAAAAAAGAAAGAAAATTGTTTCATACGCGTTAGACTGCATTTCTACAATATGCGGTCCACGGTATAAAGCATCCATCTTAAAAATGGATGCAACTAGGTCATCTATCTAAAAACAATTGAAACTAATTGTCCAAATATTTTTTTAATAAAATTATTATTTTTAAATTTAAAATTTTATTTATTTATTTCATATTCATGATCCCATAACTAAAAATTAAGTCCAAAAATCATCTCAAAAATAGATTTTTAGGTGGCGATTCATTTCCACATAGACATGGAAACCGTGTCCTAAAAAGAAACAGCTAGACCCCAGTCCGGATAAATAGTATCTTTGTAGAAAATCCCTTAATTTTTTATGTTATATGAAGTGGGTGAAAGGATTCAAGCTGGAAATCACCGCACATTCCAATGGATGTAGCAACTTGCTTCTTTCTTTTACGTATCGTAAACAAAGGCTGCTTCACACAAACTACATCAATTTGCATTCGATTTTGGTTTCAGCTCTCTCTCTAAAAATCTCCTATATCATCAATGATGACCAGGCCGGTGTAGTTGATGTGTCTTGGCCTCCATGGCTTCAAACATAGAGAGTTATACTCAGGTATTTCGTGGGATGCATATTGTTTGCTTGGTCCACTTTCATTCTCTCAACCTTTTTCTGTTTTTCCTGCAGGATGCTTTTGGTGATCCTTATGTGTTCCATGAAGCTGATAATGAAGAAACAAGTGAGAGAACGGCTGAATTTTTGCTCCCAGGTTTGCGATTTCTCTCGAAATCAAATGCTTGGGCTGGTCCTGATCATTGGAAATTTAGGAAAGTGAAAGGTAGACAGAAAATCGGTAAACGATGATCCTCAATTGAATTGATGCTTTGGTATGCTTATGCAGACAACTGTTCTGGTGTGCCCTTTGATTTATAGGTTCAGAGGAGGTTCTGGATTCTTCAAACAATCCCCTGATGGAAACGAAGCGGCCAAAGAACAAAAAGCAAGAACCCTCTTTCATTGATTTCATGAAGTCTTTTGAGTTGGAGAGACTAGATTATTTTAATCCTCCTAAAAATCTAAAGACATTATTATTGCCTGGTAATAATGCTCCTTGAAACACCACTCTTCCAGAGGATTGTCACTATCAACCTGAGAATCTGGTTAAATTTGTTTCTGCTTCCATGCGTCATGGTAAATATTGCCACCAGGGTGTAAATCCTTGCCTGGTATTTCCTTTTGTCTTGGAATATTATATGTTTGTTTGTTTGTTTTATGCTGATGAATAAATACTTCTGTTGTCTTGTAGTGCATTGGAATGAAAAGAAAAAAAACATTTGGTAAGCTATATTACCATTTCCTCTTCTCCTAGATGTATATTCACTGCGTGGCTTAAAATTTAACTTTCATGGCATTTTTGTCATTATCCATGGAAATGATTTTGTTTTATCTATGTCATAAATAAACCTTGTCGTTTATCCAATTGTGATCCATATGTTTCATTTTTTCTTCATTTTAGTTTATTTCTTTGGTTATTATGATCATTGATATTGATTCAGTCCTTCGATATAACATTCAATGCATGTGAACCTCGGTAACTTTGCAATGCTCATCAAAATGATGTATCATGATTGCAGGCATTGTGTCCTAGTATGGTAACCTGCTCTGCTAGATTTAACAATTCTCAGCTTGATTCCTAGCTGCTTTGTCTAGATGTTGTCTTTAATATCTTTTTTTTCCTGATGAAATTCTTTCCCTGGAGACATGAACTCCTCTCCAGCCTTTTACTGTTAGGTATGAACTAGTGCCGTGCGTAAGGGATCAACTTCAGTAGACCAAAATTCAAATGTGAAATTATGATAAGGTAAACAAATCAACCCATTAATTGGCCATGATCAATGATCCTTTTTATTGACAACAAAATCAAAACTGTGATAATCTCAAAAATTTGGATATTCTGTAACCAAGCCTGTTTGAAGATGAATGGGATATCTCTCAATCCTAGATATAGTATTTTCATCACCTCTGACTTTCCTTATTCAAGGACACCAAACTGGCATGAGATTTACCAAACTCATATATTGATAGAAAGCTTCTAGCTTTTAGAAAGCTAGAAGCACCTATTTTTTCTTTCTTTCCCTTTTGTTTCTTTTGTTCTGTGCATCACGGAATAGTCCTGTACTTTTGAGGTAAAAACTTGTATTTATGGTGTGGACTATTGGTTTAAACAACAAAGGATGCCTTTATATGTACCATTCTCAACTTGTCACATCTATATTGTAGTGGGAAAACAAGTCTCAGGTCGTTCGTGGTCCTTGGGGCAGTGTACATGTTGAAGGAAACTAAGCCAGAAACTAGTGTTAAACAAGCTGTTTTAACCTCTAATTTCACTTTTAAAGTGGACCATTCATCCAATACCCCCTTGAGAAAGTTCAAATAGACAGTTATAGAGAATTGCCCTATATTCCGTAATTTATCAAGCTTTTGAGGTTTTTGTATCTGTGGTCTTAAATGGAAATAATATTTGGACGCCTTGCTAAAAATTTTAACTCATCAGTGGTTGTTCAATGGATATGGAGCTCGTAATTCATTGTTTTTGTGGCAAATTACATAGCACTGGATGATCCAAGTTATCTATTTATGGTGATGCTTTTTTATATATAATCAGTTATGAGTCCTGCAATTGGTGATTTAATGTGAAGTATTTAATTGACCTGTCTTTTATTTTTGATAGCTTATACTGAAGACCTCAATACATCTGAATCGGTACCATCATGGGATGCAGCAAGTGACATTTCTTCTCACCATGACAATTAAAATATTCATAGCAATAATGAAGACTCAAGTGATCTAGGACTCAAGTGATCTAGTTTCTAAACCTCGGCAGGTTAGCTTAGGCTCTTGTTTATGTTAGAATCTTTTTTGGATCTTGGGTTATTTAAAGTTTGCGATATTTTGGAGCTCATTTAGTAATTCTGTTTTTTTTGGAATGAGTGTAAATCTTGCAAAAGTTTGCGCATAAGGATCAATCTCACCTGCTGTTGTTCTTAAACTGTTCAATCTCACCTGCTGTTGTTCTTAAACTGTTCAATCTCACCTGCTGTTGTTCTTAAACTGTTCAATCTCACCTGCTGTTGACCATTCTTAAAGTGTTCCAATATATACCCCTACAGACCTATTATCATTTTGTTCATTTTTTTTTAGATGATACACCTAAAGCATATGAAATACATTGCTATAGTCTAACAATATAGACTTTATACAAGCAATCAAAAAATGCCTTTATACAAGCAATCAAATTTTTTTTTCAATAACTTTGATTGCTCAATCTCCAAACTTCCACCTCTAACGGCTAAAGAATAGTGAGAGTGAGAGAAATCCCGGCAAGCACACAGAGCACTCAAGTGAGGTTTGCAGGAGTTTGCCGGCAAGCAGAAGGTTCCGGCAGAGAGGAGAGCACCGGAGGGAACGCAGGAGCGTTCGTGAGGGTGCAGGAGTATGTGGCAAAGGTTTTAGTGAGAAGGGAGTTCGTCGGGGAGCTTTAGAGATTCCAACAGTGGGTTTTTTTTTTTTTAGGGGTTTCGGATAAGGGGAAGAAGGACGGAAGTTGCAACGAGGGGCTGCATGGGAACTTTTGCTAGTTTTTGGTAACTTTCCAACGGTATGCGGGAAGGGGAAAGGTCTCTCAGTGGGTTTTCGACGGGAAAGGGGAGTTTCCCAATGGGAAACCGAGAGGTCACGGAGTGAACGGCCACTGGTAGTGAATAGTCACTGGGAGGTGAACGGCCGTCAGTCCACACGTGTGAGAACGTGCGTCAGGCCACGTCGTGGCCGGTAGTTGTCAAGCGGCGCATCGGGGCTCAAGGTGACACGTGTAGAATCCATAGCACATACAGGAGACTTGAACACGAGCGACGATAGTCCTTTGAAAACACAGCTGGTGCTAGGCGTTAGCGAACACAGTCGGCACTAGGCATTAACGAACACAGTCGGCGCTAGGCATCGGCAAACACAGCCGGAGCTAAGCTTTGACGAACACAGCCGGAGCTAGACTTTAGCTAACACAGCCGACGCTAGGCATTAGCGCACGCGGACGGCGTTGGGCATTGGCGAACATAACCAGCGCTAGGCTTTAGCGAACACAACCAGCATTAGGCATTAGCGAACACGAACGTTGTTGGACCTCTGAGAACGCATCCGGTGGTGGGCTTTAGAAACACAGCCGGTGTTAGTCAGTGCCTTAGTCGTAGGCGGCCTAGCAACATGATGTGCTTGACGTTAGTCGTGTGCAGCGGCTGCTATTCGCTTTATCCTTTGATAAACGACGGTGAATCATGTTCTGTTGTGATCGTGTACGGCGATGACTTGGGTTGGCAAAGGGTGGTAACGAATGGTGAGGCCTGGCTTATTAAGCGTATTAGAAGCCAAGTCCTCCAGCACAATTGTGAACTCTATGTTGTTCTGTGGAAGCACCCTCACTGTGAGTGTGGTATGCTCTCCACCAGTTCCTTGCTAGAGAATCTGCTTTGTATGTTTGGTATACTCCATCAGAGGGCTTCCACCTTCTCCTATTGTGAAAGCCACCTTTGGTCAGTAACCGCCCTCTCCTCCTCATATACAAGAGCAGCGTTGGGGTCAACTATCCTCTTTTCTTCTGATGTAAGAGGAATTTTTGGCCTATAACCATCCTCTTTTCTTCAGATGCAAGAGCGACACTGGGGGGTCAACTGTCCTCTTTCACTCAAATGTAAGAGCGACGCTGAGAGAGCAATACTGCATGATAGATTTGTAATCTCACTAATAATGGGCTTTTGGGCTTGTACCTTCTTTTCATGCAATAAAAAGAGTTAAACCTTGTTTGAACTGTCTCGCTTGTCTTCTTTTTTTTGCCGTCCTTTTTTTTTTAACTTTTTCTTGTTGCGTATAAAATTTTAACTCTTTGTTGTTGCGTATAAAATTTTAGTATACTAACCTCAAAATTATGTCGCCCGAGAAGGTTTTCTAGATCTTCTTGCTCCCTTGATTATTATTTCCCCTGAAACTTCTCTTTGGGTGGTTGAGTCTTTCTTTCAAAACTTCTGAATTGAGTTGGTCCCATCCTCCCATCTTTCCTGAACTGGGGACTCTTCGCCGTCCCTTTCTATTTTTATGGCCAAATCCACTAAAGGGGAGAAGGTCTTTAAATTGGCTGATAATACCCTCCCCCTTATTTCTGGCCTGAGGCCTCTTTCAAACTTACTAGCCTTTCGTGCCTCGGTGTTAATGATGTGCGGTGTGTATCTTGACAATTAAGCAAATTTGGCTGCATACTGTTCTACGGACAAACCGCCTTGTTGCAGCTATATAAATTCCACTTCCTTTCTTTCCTGTATTGAGTCAGGGAAGTACTTCTCATTGAAGGCTTCCAAGATGTTCTCCCGGGTCACTTATCTCCCTGACTTTCCCATGATTGTTTTACTGAGCCCCATCAGTGCTCAACATCTCCTTCTAACATAAAGGCCCCCAACCTAACCTTCTGTTCATCACTGCAATGCAACCCTTCAAATATCTTTTCTACTGGCCTTTTCCATCGTTCTGCTTTTTCTACTTCCCCATGTCCTAAAAACGTCGGAGGTGCTAGCCGCCTGAACTTTTCTATTAGTCCACCATCAGCCTGCTCTGGGGCAAGGGTAACCAGGGCTGGCATATATCTTTCATCATTTGAGTCATGGCCCCCAAGGTCTTGAAGAATTCTTCAAGGGCTTCTGTGTTCTCGTTACTGGAACTCGCATTATTAGCACGAGTCCTTGGCATCTTTGTCCTACAACAGGAGCACCCCAGTCACTAGTCTACACAAAACTACACTAGAGACACCTTTACAACATTCTAGGTCAAGAATCCTATCCTGGCTGTTCTGATACCATAACTGTCACGAGCCCGCCCCCTGACCCCTACCGTCCCATATCGAAGGGTGACAGAGTGCGGGACCACAACTGGAGGTCGCGGACGTCACTCAGGTGGGAGTGGTTCAACGCGTGTCAACAGGTTGGAATCAAAGCAAACCATGAAAATGAAAATTAAACTTATACATCAAGTGCCAGAAATTGAACAAATTAAAACAATTAAGTATACATTCCATCTTCAAAATTCTTTACTTGTTCCAGGCCTACAAGCCTGATATTTCATTACATCAAACAAAATTACATGTAGCCACGCCACCAGACACCTACAAGGCCAAAAAGAAATCCCTAACAGGTTTGAAACTCAAAATGCCAGCTATCATCGCTTTGCTGCTTGCACTATCCCTCTACAAAGATTAAAAAAAGGAATGAACTAACATGCTCAGTAAGTAGGTCACTACCCTTGCATTCCTGACTACAACATATAAAATAATAACATGGCCTACAGTTCATTAAAGATCGCACTGGCATCAGAAAGTAGAGTCATACATCAGAATATATACAATAACAGTATAAAATGAGTATTGTTCAGATGTCGGAGCACCTAATTCCTGAAATGGCAATTACATTGATGCTTATAACAGCTAAAGAACCGAGGTGGATGCAGTGCGTATGGTAGAGATATTCTGAATATTGTAATAATATACTTGGATCATGTTCTGCCCTGGTATATGTGGAGATATGCTTGGATCATGTTCTGTCATAATAGATACATGTGGAGATACATGCATGCTTGGATCCAAGCATATCTCCACATTTATTGTCGGGAAAAACAACCTTTTTTTAAATATGCTTGGATCAAGTTAATGTCCCTTTCTTTATATTAGATTGAAACCTTTCTTTAAATGGGGCTGTCCAATTTTGTCATAAATATTGTTTTTTGAGGTCCAGGGTGTGATACTAAAGGGAAAGGTTTTTATGTTTCGCCTACAACATAGAAGTTCTATCCTACCCCTACCATCCAGCCATCCAATTTTGATCAAGAGAAGCACTCACCATTTGATCTTAGATCCGACGTCTCAAAGTATTTTAGTTTTAGTTTTTTTTTATACAAATTGTAGTATTATGAAATTGCGTACGTACCATCTTCTCATTGGGGCACACCTATAAAAAAACTATTAAAAATAATTTTTTGATAAAATATAATGACCAAAATAACCTTTGAAATTTTCAGGGGTATTTTGGCCATTTTATTTTATTAAAAATATTTTTTTTATATTTTTGTTAGTGCGAGTTTAATAGAGGAATGGACTTCCAAAATTTGGTGTCAAAATAGTTTATAGAAAAAAAATTAAAAATAAAATAGTGTAGAGACATGACATTATGATAGGGACATTCTTAGCCCTCCATTCAGAATGGATGGTTGGATAAGGGGGAGGATGGAAACTTCTATGTTGTAGGGGAAGCATAAAAAGCTTACCCAATACCAAATATACGGGGGGGAGGATGTCTATATAATTTTTCCTTAAACTAAACACAACTTCATAGATTTCATCCTCACTTACCTATGCTTCTAACTCATTAGCTACATCCTAGTGCACACTGGACATGTTGCACAAGGGAAGCTTTTCACCTGTGAATCTCCATGAAGTACTATACAAAGGCCATATCAATTCCCTCATTATCCTCCTCTTCCACACTTAGAACCTAAAGACCAATGACACTATCAGTTCTCCTAGGATTAGCAATTGCACAAAAAAAATGAAAGAATTAAGCTCTCTTTTTTCAACCATTTAATTCTCGATATCTTCTTACAGTAAGTCTCTTATTATCTAATACACTCCTGCAGTTAGTTGTAGATGTTGATTCTTTCAAGCACTTGTTTCTCATTAGGTCCCAATTGTTCCTACTCAATACTATCTCGTTATTAGATCCTGAGCATTAGGCTATCAATCTAAGATTTCACATTATAGGAGTTCTTTCTCTCTTCCATTGCACTATTTTTCAT